CTACAGAAACATCAGAATCTTGGCTACAAGCTGGTAAAAACCATTTCTATAAACATCCGAGACAGTTAAAACTACATGCAGTTGAAGATAACAAATAAAATTGGTTTAACAATTTGGCAACTCAGATGTTAAAATAATATTTGTGTTAAACAGGAGGCATAATGTGTTCTTTTTGTTTTTGATATTGTTTAATATTCACTACTTTTATAGGGTTCTATGTGTTGTATTCATGACTAAATGCAGCAAAATTCAACTATTTTTACAAATTTAAATTGAATTTCAAATGTTTCTCAGTGATTAAAGCTCAGATTTTTACTTATTTACAGTCAGGGTGGTACAGTCTGACGCCCTATCATGTTAATGTTTACACCCCCTGTTGGCAATAACCAGTAGTCTCAACTCCTCTGAATCATTGGGGCAGGAAAAAATGGACACTTTATGCTGGGTTTAGTTCATTGATACAAACAATAAACCTGATGTGAGCTCATAAAACAGGAAAAGCTCTCAGCAAACCTTGTGTCAACAGAGGAGGAGATGTTCAGTTTAAAACGGGTTTTTTTCAACGGGACACCATGAGGTTATCAAAGAGAACAAGACTTTTTTTTTACCAAGAAAGTAAGAGTTTTGAACCTAATCTGTGGTGACTGTGTGTAAATTACTGAACTTTGTGCTAATATAGATCTGAAGTCATGAAATCATCTGAGTTTAAAAAGCCTTGGAGGATGCATCGTTCACTGCTTTGTTTTTGTTTTTTACTTTCATTTTTAGAATTATTTCACAGGACATCTTGCCTCCATTTAATTTAGTTAATCTGGAGTTAATGAAGAATCATTGCTCAAAATTTAACTAGAAACCTAATCCAGAAAGCTGAGTAGCTCCGTGTCTGATCACTTTCTTTGACAAAGTACAAAATAAGTTTATGAGCAGGAGATGTTTCACTGATTTAATATCAGGACTTTTTTTTACCTGTTAACCTGTGGGCTTAACCCCAACCTAAATTAAATTAACTTCTGCTTTTGAACCCTTTGAAGTAAATTTACAAACCTATGTAAATTTCTCCATCTGCATTTTTAACTGCAGCAATCATAGTTTTTATAACTGTAACTAGTATTTAGTTATTGAAGTAAAAATACACTATAACCAATAACTTTTTTTAAATTTCCAAAGCTGCATATCTAATAAAAGGTAATATAATTTGGCTACACAGCTGTGTTGTCAGAATGATTGTTCAGTTTTAGTCAATCAATCATGTGTACCACAGACAGGTGGGACATGAGGGGCTTGCCACACATTTTGGGCTCTGGAGAGTCTGTAGATGAACCCAGTTGGTCAAAAGAGGTGTCAATCAAAACAAGACAACCAGTTAAATTGTTTGAACAGTGTATTATGCAAAAAGTCCCTAGTAATACAGAGGGAGGAGGTAACCACAAACTGGGAATGTACCATGGGCAGACAGCCTGCAGTGAGGGAGAAAAAACATAACTAAGCTACATATTTTTCCACAGAAAACATGATGCAAATTGTAACATTAGTGTCGATACTGATTTAGGAAATTAATGTCCGCCCCACTCATTTTTATTTTCACGAGCCGCTATTTAAACTTACTTACAGTGTAAAAGTAAAAGTAACGTAAAGAAAAGAAAAACAAACAAACAAAAACAGTAAGGACAAAAGCTTGTGCTACAGTATACAACGGGTAAAATAAGTATTGAACACGTCACCATTTTTCTCGGTAAATATATTACTAGAGGTGCTAATGACATGAAATTTTCACCAGATGTTGGTAACAACCCAAGTGATCCATACATACAAAGAAATCAAACCATAAATGTCCAGAAATGAAGTTATTTGTAATAATGTGGAATGGAACTTAATTGAGCATAATTTAAGTAAACAACAAATGTCTGTTTGTGCACAACTCAGATCTGATACGTTGCCTTTGGAGACGGGACAATTTCATTCAGTTCCAGCTGAGGATGGAAAATGTTCTTTATATTTAAATGAAATTGAGAGTGAAATGCACTTTTTGTTTTACTGTCTTTTGTATGTGATTTTGAGAAACAAATTATTTGGTAAAGTTCTTGATTTTTACCCAGAATTAGTTTATTTATTTGATGAAAATATAGTGCAGAATTTATTTAAATAGTTTGTGTTTCAGTTAGCTCCATTTG